GAACTAAGCTCCAACTCCTGATGGGGGCACTATCATAGAGTTTATGAACATATCTTAAAACCTCCACAGGAAATATATTATTTTGCCCCAAATCTATTACTACAGTGTATTCCCAACAAAACTTCCACTCGTTTTTGTTTGTTTTTGGCTGTGTGGTGCAACTTGTGTGATCTTAGTTCTCCGACCAGGGATCGAACCTGGGCCCCATGAACGAAAGCGTAGAGTCTTAACCAATGGACTGCCAGGGAATTCTCACAGATAGATCTTAAAAACATAATGCTGGTTGAAAAAGAAAGTTTTAAAAAATAACACTACCATTTACTTTAATCAAAAATATACACAAAATACCGATTTTATATGAAATCACACCAAGAGATACACATAAAACTCAATAACATAGTTAACTGTGGGAAGGAAAGAATGGTAGTCGGGTGCAGGAATAAAATAAGTAAAACAAGAGACTGCATAGAACAACTACAATGATGTGTCACAAACTGTAGAATGTGATCAGAGCTCAGACACTTTGAGAGGTAAATAAGTACCTCTGTTTTTTGCATGGAGGCTCAGATTCTCAGAGGGCTAAAACTAGTACATATGTGGACAATGTGAAATCTCTTCATGTCTATCCTAGGAAGTCTGGATATGGTAAAAGTCAGACAAGTCCATTTTGTGGATGCAGGGGCTTCCCTAGTGGCTCCGACAGGAAAGAGTCTGCCTATGATGTGGGAGACCCAGGTTTGATCTCTGGGTCAGGAAGATCCCCTGGAAAATGGAATGGCAGGGCAGTGGGGCTGATCTCAAAAATCTATCTAGAATTTTTGGGGTCAGTTTCTGTCTTGGCAATAGGTCATCTTCATCAGCATTATAGATCCACTATGAGACAGTAGAGCCCGGATGCCAGTCATTGACTCATCTGTGATTTCCTATGGAGGTTTGTCTTGGTGAAATCTCCTCAAGAAACAGGAATTATAGTGGGCAGGATCTACTGCAGAAAACCTCTGAGTCCTTTGGCTGTGGTTTTTCAATGGATCTGAAGTAGGCATGATAGACTTTAGATGGACTGAGCCATAAGACACTTCAGCTCTTCTCATTCTTTTGCAACAAGCTTCACATCCCCTCCTGCTCCATGATCAACCAATCAGTGAAAGCTGTAGCTATGTGCCTGGTTTCTGCCCATACTGGTCATGAGTTTTTCTCCTCCTGCCCTGTGTATGGATGCTCATCTCTGAAAATATTGTCTGAGGAAGCGTTGTGAACCACCTCTGCCCTCCCCAACTCTTAATACAGGCACCTCTCATTTTAATTGTGCTTTGCTTTATTGTGCTTTACAGATATCATGAGTCTTTTTCTTTTTTTTTAATTCTTTTCCATTATAGTTTATTGTGCTTAGTCACTCAGTCATGTCTGACTCTTTGCGACCCCATGGACTGGGGCCCACCAGTCTTCTGTCCATGGGGACTCTCCAGGGAGAGTTGGGTTGGAGTGGGTTGACATGCCCTCCTCCAGGGTGTTTTCCTAACCCAGGGATTGAATCCAAGTCTCATGCATTGCAGGCAGATTCTTTACCATCTGAACCACCCAAATTACTGAAGTGGGTAGCTTATCCCTTCTCCAGGGGATCTTCTCAACCAAGGAATTGAACTGGCATCTCCTGCTTTGCAGGTGGATTCTTTACCAGCCAAGTTACCAGGGAAGTGTTGCAAACCACTTCTGACTTCCCCCCAACTCTTAGTACAGGCATCCCTCATTTTAATTGTGCTTTACTTTATTGTGCTTTACAGATATTGTGAATTTTTTTCTTTTCAATTCATTTCCATTATAGTTTATTACAAAATATTGAATATAGTTCCTTGTGCTATATAGTAGGTCATTGTTGTTTATCTATTTTATGTGTGGTAATGTGCATCTGTTAATCCCATATTCCCAAATAACCCCTCCTACTTTGGTAGCCATTAAGTTTGTTTTCTGTGTCTATGAGTCTCCTTCTGTATCATGGGTTTTGTTTTTTCTTTTTAACAAATTGAAGGTTTGTGGGCAACCCAGCATTCAGCAAGTCTGTTAACACCATTTTTGCAATAGCATTTGCTCACTGCCTATTTCTATGTCACATTACAGTAATTTTTGCAATATTTCAAACTTTTTCATTATTATTGTATTTGTTATGATGATCTATGATCAGTGATCTTTGATGTTACCAATAATCTGTGACTCTAGGATGGCAAGCTTAAATGACAAATGTGTGTTCAAACTGCCCTACTTTCTGTCCCTCTCCCTCTCCTCAGACCTCTCTTTCCCTGAGACATAATAATATTGAAATTATGCCACTTGATAAACCTACAATTGCCTCAAAGTGTTCAAGTGACAGGAAGAGTCTCCCACTTCAAATCAAAATCTAGAAATGATTACACTTAGGTAGGAAGGCACATCAGAAGTTGAGGCAGGCTGAAATCTAGACCTCTTGTAACCAGTTACTGAAGTTGTGAATGCAAAGGGAAAGTTCTTGAAAAAAAAATTAAAAGTGATGCTCCAGTGAACACATAAATGATAAGAAAGAGAAACAGCCTTACTGCTGATATGGGGAAGGTTTTAGTGGTTTGGATAGAGGATCAAACCACCCACAACATTTCCTTAAGCCAGAGCAAGGCCGTAACTCTCTTCAGTCCTGTGAAGCCTAAGAGAGGTGAAGGAAGCTGCAGAAGAAAAGTCTGAATCTAGCAGAGGTTGGATCATGAGTGTTAACAAACGCTGTCTCCAGAACATAAAAGTGCAAGTTGAAGTAACAGGTGCTAATGTAGAAGCGGCAGCAACTTATCCAGATCTAGTTAAAATAACTAATAAACGTGGCTACACCAAACAAGATTTCCACTGTAGATGCAACAGCTTTATATCAAAAGAAGATGCCACCTAGTACTTTCATAGTTAAAGAGAATTCAATGACTGACTTGAAGGTTTCTAAGGACAAACTGGCTCTCTTTTAGGGGCTAATGCCACTGGTAACTTTAAGGAAGAAGACAATGCTCATTGAGCATTCTGAAAAATCCCAGGGCTCTTAGGAATTAGGGTAAATCTATTCTAACTGTCCTCTGTAAGGGGGCTTCCCTGGTGCCTCAGACAGTAAAGAATCTGCTTACAGTGCAAGAGACCTGGGTTCAATGCATAGGTTGAGAAGATCCCCTGGAGAAGTAATGACAACCCACTCCAGTATTCTTGACTGGAGAATCCCATGGACAGAGGAGACTGGCAGGCTAGTCCATCAGATTACAAAGAGTCAGACACAACTAAGTGACTAATAACACTTTCACTTTTTCACCATACTGTATCCCAAAAGTTAACAAATCTAGTCTGTATTTGGGGTGCTGATCCTGGACGAGTCCATTCTATGGATGACATATTTCAAGTCTCTGAGGGCAACTAACCCATTCTTCCTTGATGGGGAGCTCAGAAACAAAAAGTCTGTCAAATCCATTCATTGTAAAGGTAACTCAGACACTCAGAAGGCGGACAAGAACAAATTGTGGGCAGTGGGCTCAGACACTCTGTCCCTTACCTACTGTGAAAGTCCTCTGTGTGGATCAAGGGTTCAGCAACTCGGAGTGACAGCAGAAATCATTCTGTTGGATCGGGATTTACTCCTTTTGAAGATTGAAGCATCCTCTTTTGTAGAAGTAACCTCAGGTGGTCTATTGATGGGGAATTCGAGAAACTGGCTTCAGGAAGCTGTCAGGTAAGGATAAGGGCTGAGGTTATAAATGAGAAGAAACAAGGGGAAAGAGTCGCACGCATAACAGGTGGCTAGATGTTGGGCACAGAGGAGGAAATGCAGGGATCAGGGTCAGGGGCTAAGAAACTAAGGAATGTCTAATGTTAAGGGCTGTGAATGGTGATGACGTCAGGGCCAGTGGGGAGATAAAACATCAGGCCCTCGCGGGGGTATGAGTTCGGAGGACTAGAAGGTGAAAGGGTATCAGAGGACAGTAATTACGTCCTCAGGAACCTAGAGAAAGACGTCAGAATCAATGAGGGAAGTGACCTCAAGGGTGGTAAGGGTGATATCAGAGACAGAAACGGGTGTGAGAGCGTAAGGGATGAAGACGGCTTGGCAGATGCTGATGTTAGGTTGCATCAACCTCACAAACCTCCCATCCTTTTCCCGAAGCGTGCTCAGCGCCTCGCTCCCTTCAAGCGGTTGTCCCTTCCTCCCGCCCCGCCTCACTGGCCTTAGCCAATGAGCGCGCACGGCGGCACACGCGACGGAAGTTCCATGACGTGTCCACTCTGTGCCCTTTATCAGCGTCTTGCCGCGCGGCAGCCTCCCTAGTCTCGGCTCCTCCGTGGCGGCTCTCTCTTCGGAGTTCTTGTTAGCTTCCAGGTAGGTAGCGTATATTTTGCCGAGCGGCTGTTCCTCGTCTCACTGATTTTGCTGTGCCGATTGAGAGCGAGGTGCGCGAGTGAGGAGTAACGGTCTCATAGGACACATAGGCTTGGGCTTCACTGGGTCGGGTGGGTTCCGTGCTTGGAGGTGACACTTTTTGGTTGGTGTGAGCCTGGCGCGCTATATTTGAGTGCAGGAAATGCCGGGAAGGGCTGGCGGCGTGGGTGGCAGCCGTGATCATGCGACAGCGGAGGCGGATGGATTGGGTGGGGGGGGCTCTTTTTGCATGTGACCGCCGCCATCTTGTTCTGTGGGCGCAAAGGGACAGCAAGGGTGTTCTGGGCATGCGCAGGTGTACAAAATGAAGGGCGTGGGGGTAAGGGATATTGTGTGGACATGTGCGAAGGTGGCCTTCGGAAAGATTACCTCGCTGAGCCGGCTCCGGAGGTTCCTGTCTTTTTCGCCTTTGTCTGTGCTTAGTTACCCCGTATTTTTTTTTTTGGCTTGTTTTGTCTTCTCTCTGCTCTGTTCTCTTCATCCTTTCTCACTTTTCCAGCCTCTTCTTTCTCCCATTTCCACAGTTTCTCCTATTCTCCATATCCTCAACACAGGACTTGAACTTACTGCCATGTCTTCCGAAGAAGGGAAGCTCTTCGTGGGAGGGCTCAACTTCAACACTGATGAGCGGGCTTTGGAAGACCACTTCAGCAGCTTCGGACCTATTTCTGAGGGTGAGAAATGGGCCAGGTGCATGATGGGGGGATTGTGGAAGAAAGTCTGGGTCCCATGCATTTCAGGAAACAGGAGAGAAAGGTTAGAACCCTAGGCCTTACCCTTTTCCTCTCTTTGTTCCTAGGGCTAAGACTGAGAACCCAGTAAGTTGCCATTGAGTTTTAGTGGAAGGAGGGTCCATTCTTAACACCCTTTACCACTTGTCTTCTTAGCTCTTTCCCCTGTCTTTCCCAGTGGTGGTCGTCAAGGACCGGGAGACTCAGCGATCCCGGGGTTTTGGCTTCATCACCTTCACCAATCCGGAGCATGCCTCAAATGCCATGAGAGCCATGAATGGAGAGGTGAGGTCTCCTACCTGCATAGGGGCCCTGCTCCCATCTGTCACTTGGACCATTCTGTTTTCCCCTCTGTGTCTGCTTGGGGCAGCGTGGCCACCAAGCCCCGCGGTGCCCACTCACAGGAGCGTGACTGCCTTCTGTTCTAGGGGGTGGAGGGCAGCGGCAGACAGAGCCGGGCTGCCTGGGAGGCGACGACTGGTCCTGCATGAGGCCGAGAAGCCACCTGTGGATGGTTGACCTGCTCTGGGCTTAGGTAGTAGAGTCTGCAGACCTGCGGGCCTGGCCCGGAGAGGACCTCGTGAGTCTTCTGGGATGGACTCTGAAGCCTCAGACCAAGAGAGGTGTCTGTCTAGCCCTAATAGTCGGGCAGCTTAGAGGAGTGGGGAGGAGAATTCAACCTGAGTTCGGTCAAGATGTAAGTAGTAGCAGGGGAAACATGGTGGATTCAGGTAATTTTGTGGGATTCTGTAGCTCCCAGATAAAACCATTTGGGTCAAAGGAGCTTTTTCTGGAATATGGCACCCAGAACCTGGTGCCCAGCAGGAATTTCTGGGCTCTTTTGCCCACTTGCCCAGCCCACTCCTACCTCACCCCTGCCCTGTTTGACCACCAACCCATCCATCCTTGTGTCTCCCCACACCTAGTCTCTGGATGGTCGTCAGATCCGTGTAGACCACGCTGGCAAGTCAGCCCGGGGAACACGAGGGGGTGCCTTTGGGGGCTATGAACGTGGTCGTGGCTACCCTAGAGGTAAGTTACTTGGTAAGTTTGATCATGGGGTATAGAGGAGAGTTGCCTATTAGCATTCTATTATCTAGACAATTGCCATACAAATATTTCTTCCTTATTGTAGGTGGTGGGGACCAGGGCTATGGAAGTGGCAGGTATGACAATCGACCTGGAGCATATGGATTCGGATACGGATATGGATATGGAAGGACCAGAGACTATGGTGGCAGGTGGGTAACCAAGGGGTTAGGGTACGCTGGTGCTTCTTCCCTCTCCCTAACAACTCATCTTAGGGATTTATCTGGTGGTCTGGTGGCTAAGACCCTGTACTCCCAATGCAGGGGGCCTGGGATCAATCCGTGGTCAGACCCTACATGCCACAACTAAAAAAGATGCCACGTGCCACAAAGACTGAAAATTCCATGTGTAGCAACTAAGACCCAGCACAGCCAAATGAATGAATAAAATTTTTTTTAATTTTAAAACCTCAGTTTCTTGCTCAAAAATTTAAAAAGCTCAGTTGCCTGAGCATACATACCTTGCTGTGGTGCTAATAGTGTTTTCAAATTGTAATGAAGTTATAAAGCAAGTATGAAGCAATATTTTGGGTTAAGTATAACATTGGTAAATAATTTGTTAGGTCATGTGATTGCAATGTGCAGTAGATGGTGACATGTTTATTGTATTGTCTTGATTATATATGGTGGTAGTATTTAATATGCTATATTATACACCATATGACTGAGGTTTATTTTATATTCATGTTTAACTTATCATGGTGTTTAGTAATACTGCAGAGTATATAATACATTCCTGTGATACTACTATGTATGTTTTTTCCCAGAAGCCAGGGTGGTTATGACCGCTACTCAGGAGGAAATTACAGGGACAATTACGACAACTGAGATGAGGTATGTGCACCTAATGTAAGTGAGACTTCTGTGTCGCCATTTAAGAGACCTCTGTCCACTAGTCTTATCCTGTCCCTCTCATCTTTCCTCCTGTATGTGCATACCTCAACAGGCCCACCTGACAACCATTGCTAGGCCTCCCTTGCTTTCAGGTGCCTGTTAAGGCTTGTCTGCTTTGATGGAAGTAGGGGTTGGGGGGCCACCTGTCTTGTCTATCATCTACTCCTGTTGAGCATGTAAGAGATGGAGGGGTTTCCAGCCTTTCAGCATCCTCATCAACCCCGGGAATTAAGCATGTTAGCATATTCCCTGGAGAAGGCAATGGCAACCCACTCCAGTACTCTTGCCTGAAAAATCCCATGGATGGAGGAACCTGGTAGACTGCAGCCCATGGGGTCGCACAGGGTCGGACATGACTGAAGTGACTTAGCAGCAGCAGCATATTCCCAACATCACAATTCTCCCCCTTCTTACTGTTCTCAGAAACACAAGGAATAATCTGATCCAGGACCAGGACCACCTCTCCAAATGACTGTATTTATAAAGACTTTTGGAGCTGCACTGAAACATCTGTTATAGTTAAACCAACCTGGTTTTTTTTCTTAATAAATTGAGTTCCCAAGGTACCTTATTAAAGATCTTTCAGAAAGCTCCATGTTTGTTTTGTTTTGTTTTAAAAATTTTCTCCCATTTAAAGACAAAATCTGAAGATATTTGTAGAGTCTTTCTTCCTTTTTTACCAGTTTTTTTTTTGTTTGTTTGTTTTAGTTCCAGCTCTTAGGGTTATTCTGACAAGAAATGTTTGGCGAGATTCTTTTACTAATACGAATCTAGAAACATTTTAAAAACCTGTACACATGTTGAATCCTGATTAGGAAGCAGTTTCCAACTGTAAGAAACAAAGAGCATGATAACTTATAGGTGTTTTTTACTCAAGATCTCTGCTTTGATTATATAGAAATTTCTAAGAAATACTTGTGTATGTCATTTTTTTTAAACTGGAAGAAAAAAAATTCTGTTGTTTCATGTAGTGTTTAGGATGTCCTTCACTGAGTTGATTAAAAAGATGAAACCTGAAAACAAATCGATATTGAAGTGCTTTTTTTCTTGCTCAAATTAAGGTATAGAGCCTTACTACAAATTAAAAATAGGGGAAGGCCAAGAGGCGGACTTTGAGAAAAGGATACAGTTAGGTGGGCAGGGACTGCCAAAAGGGTAGAGACCTTGAGTTCAAAGTTTAGTTGGGTTTGGGATTGCTTTGGGTATACATACATCAGGCCTGTGGGAAGGGTGGGGAATCACCGAAATTCCCTTGTGGCTGGAATTGGGTTTCCTGACGTGGTCTCTTGGTCCCATTGTGATAATCTCAGTGTCAGCTTTGGGAAGTCGGCTGGAGTTTTGATCTCCCTGTCTCCTCCGAGCATCTTAGGTGCCTTCCTTAGAAGATTGTACTGAGAATGTAAGCATCTGGTGGGGGATGGGAGACTAAATCCTGTCATAAATAGTGGTGCCAGCTGCTCCTCCTGAATAATGGAGGTAGATGCAGGTCTAGTAAACTTATCTTGTTGTGAGGTAGGACAAGCCTGATTTGAAAACAGGATTCTAGGAGCACAGCCTCTGGATTCTGATTCCAGGGTTCAAACCCAAGCTCTGCTGCTTTCCACTTATTTCAGTGGTGTTAATAAACAGCAATCCAAGCTGCCACTACATGGGTCACTGTACTGTGAAAAATTGCAGTACTGATGACCTGTGTCCTCTACCTCTTAGCCATGAATTTGTTTTGCCAGGTGGATGGAGACCTGGGAACTTCTGAGACCTGTCTGGACCAGATAAAGGGGGCCTTACAGCTACTCCTTACCAGTTGAGTACTAGGCATTCTGTGCTGGGCTCCAGGGAGTTAAGGCAGTGGAATCTGGTGGGAGGCCCACTGTTATTGCCTAGGGTGGGCAGCACTTCTGCACCTTATGTCTCAGGAAGTACAGTGTCTTCCCAATGTGGCCTGAGACAGGGTCTGGTAACCACAAAATTTCTACAACGAAATGATCCCCTAAGTGACATAAAAACTATAAATAGCCTTTCCTGAGGTGCTGTGTAGGAATGTTGGACTTCCAAGGTGGCCCTGGGTTGGGAAGATCCCCTTGAGGAAATGGCTACCCACTCCAGTATTGCCTGGAGAATCATGGACAGAGGAGTCTGGCAGGCTACAGTACATACGGTCTCAAAGAATCAGACACAACTGAGCATAAACTTGAGGTAATCCAGTCTTGCCCAGCCTCTGGTTTACTTGCTCTAAGGAAAGGGGCCTAGGAGACAGTTTTCTTTGACACAGCATCACTCATCAATACAATTTATAAATGTGAGACTCAAAGCCCTTATTAAAAGCTTATTAGTCTTCAGTTTGACTAGAATCTCACTACTGTGCATGTTTCCCAAGAACCCACTGAGACTTGAACTCACATTTAAAGGTGCTTTGAGAACCTGTGTCCCCAAACCTGTGAAGACCAGACCCTTGGTCTACAAGTATTTGTATTTTCAAGCCCTGGATCTTGCCTACCCTCCCCATGAATTTGACAAACATTTTCATAGACATCCCACCCCCTGCCCACTTTGAAGTCCAGAAGAAATCCCAAACCTTTCCCCTCTCACCCCACATGGAAGTTACTGACCCTGCTTCCTAGCTTAGTTTTATGTGCCTGAGGTTCTATGTCTGCAAAGTGGGAAGAATACTATTGACCTCACTGAGTGGTACTGGAGGTGACATACTTAGAGAAGGGTAGGTCTGTGGTAATAACCCTACACCTTCCCTACATTCTGGTTTGGGGGTGTAAGAAACTCAAAACACCTTTTTCAGGGACTTCCCTGGTGGTCCAGAGGCTAAGACTCGCGGGGCCTGTGTTCCATCCCTGGTCAGTTCAGTTCATTCATGTCCGACTCTTTGCAACCCCATGGACTGCAGAACACCAGGCTGCCCTATCCATCACCAACTCCCAGAGTTTACTCACACTAATGTCCATTGAGTCGGTGATGCCATCCAACCATCTCATCCACTGTCATCCCCTTCTCCTGCCCTCAATCTTTCCCAGCATCAGGGTCTTTTCAGATGAGTCAGCTCTTTGCATCATGTAGCCAAAGTATTGGAGTTTCGGCTTCAACATCAGTCCTTCCAATGAACACCCAGGACTGATCACCTTTAGGATGGACTGGCTGGATCTCCTTGCAGTCCAAGGAACTCTCGAGAGTCTTCTCCAACACCACAGTTCAAAAGCATCAATTCTTCAGCGCTCAGCTTTCTTTATAGTCCAACTCTCACATCCATACATGACCACTTAAAAAACCATAGCTTTGACTAGATGGACCTTCGTTGGCAAAGTAATGTCTCTGCCTTTTAATATGCTGTCTAGGTTGGTCATAATTTTGCTTCCAAGGAGTAAGTGTATTTTAATTTCATGGCTGAAGTCACCATCTGCAGTGATTTTGGAGCACCCCAAAATAAAAGCCTGCCACTGTTTCCACTGTTTCCCCATCTATTTGCCATGAAGTAATGGGACCAGATACCATGATTTTAGTTTTCTGAATGTTGAGCTTTAAGCCAACTTTTTGACTCTCCTTTCACTTTCATCAAGAGGCTCTTTAGTTCTTCAATTTCTGACATAAGGGTGGTATCATCTGCATATCTGAGGTTATTGGTATTTCTCCTGGCAATCTTGATTCCAGCTTGTGCTTCATCCAGCCCAGCGTTTCTCATGATGTACTCTGCATATAAGTTAAATAAGCAGGGTGACTATATACAGCTTTGACGTACTCCTTTCCCGATTTGGAAACGGTCTGTTCTTCCATGTCCAGTTCTAACTGTTGCTTCCTGACCTCCATACAGATTTCTCAAGAGGCAGGTCAGGTGGTCTGGTATTCCCATCTCTTTCAGAATTTTCCACAGTTTGTTGTGATCCACACAGTCAAAGGCTTTGGCATAGTCAATAAAGCAGAAATAGATGTTTTTCTGGAACTCTCTTGCTTTTTCAATGATCCAGCGGATGTTGGCAATTTGATCTCTGGTTCTTCTGCCTTTTCTAAATCCAGCTTGAACATCTGGAAGTTCATGGTTCATATATTGTTGAAGCCTGGCTTGGAGAAATTTTAGCATTATTAGCATGTGAGATGAGGGCAACTGTGCGGTAGTTTGAACATTCTTCGGCATTGCCTTTCTTAGGGATTGGAATGAAAACTGACCTTTTCCAGTCCTATGACCACTGCTGAATTTTCCAAATTTGCTGGCATATTGAGTGCAGCACTTTCACAGCATCATCTTTTAGGATTTGAAATAGCTCAACTGGAATTGCATCACCTCCACTAGCTTTATTCATAGTGATGCTTCCTAAGGCCCACTTCACTTCACATTCCGGGATGTCTGGCTTTAGGTGAGTGATCACACCAACGTGATTATCTGGGTACTAAAGATCTTTTCTGTACAGTTCTTCTGTGTATTCTTGCCACCTCTTCTTAATATCTTCTGCTTCTGTTAGGCCCATACCATTTCTGCCCTTTATTGAGTCGGTCTTTGCATGAAATGTTCCCTTGGTATCTCTAATTTTCTTGAAGAGATCTCTAGTCTTTCCCATTCTATTGTTTTACTCTATTTCTTTGTACTGATCACCGAGGAAGGCTTTCTTATCTCTCCTTGCTATTCTTTGGAACTCTGCATTCAAATGGGTATATCTCATTTGAATCCACATGCCACAACTAAAGATTCCACATGCTGCAAGTAAGACCTGGGGCAGTCAAATATTTTTTAAAAGGTTTTTAAAATAAGTTGCTGTAAATACTTAAGATATGTTAGAAAGTATATTGATTAGATAACTGGGCAATATTCCTCCCTCCTGCTTTTAGAGACAAAACAAGCACAGTTCCTGCATATCTGCATTCCTCTTCTACCTCCTGCACGTCTCCAGGCTAACAAGCCATGATCCCTTATAATCAAAGTGCACGGAGATCTGAAAACCAGAAGCTTTTTTTTTCAAGATTTGTGACAATACCTGAAGTTTTTCATAATCTTTGTTTTTCCCATTCAATGTGAATATGCATACAATATACTGCAGAAATACTAGCGTTTGGTTATGGAGAACTACACTAGAGTCTATGGGATGTGGATTTTAACATACCAATGAAAGCACAAACTTAAGGCTTTTAAAATTGAAAATGGTCTGTAGCATGTTCTGCATAAACATTTCTAATACTCTGTTGTAAATTCAACTTTAAGCTTCCTTAAAGTAAAACTGAGGAAGTTTTCTTTACTCTTTCTACTTAATAGTTGTCCAAGCACAGAACTTGCAGTCTCTATTTTAAACTTTGCATTTAAAAAGTACATTTTGCATTAAAAAAGTACATTTTGGAGAGGGGGGAATACAGTCCAGCCATTTGTCTTATTTAAGTGGAAGAAAGTTTTAATTAATTAAATGTGCAAAATGCCCTGATGTTTCCTAGTTTGTTGTATTTTAACAAAGACTGTTGGCTTCAAACCACTCAAATGCTTATGGAACCTTCAGTTTAGAAAATACAGTGTGTTTAAAATTGTGGAAACTGGGTGATAGGTACGTGGAAGTACATTAAGTCAATGCATTGTGAGTTTGAGATTTTCCATAATAAAAAGTTCAAAAGAAAACTGAGTGGTGTGGTTTGTAAGACCTTCACATTGGTGTGGGAAGTGGATGACTTATAGTCATCTATTTAGTCAGCTATTTTCTGTTGGCCTGCCCTGTTCCCCAAAGCCTTCTGAATAGGTACAGTCAGCTCTGTTCCAAGGGCCTCAAGAAACCCTGAAATGCTAGCTTCTATTTCTTTACGTTTGACATTAATATTTTCCAGATACCTGTCCTAGGGAGTTGCCTGGCAGTCCAGTGGTTAGGACTCTTCAGTTCCACTGCAGGGGGCACGGGTTTGATCCCTCATTGAAGAACTAAGATCCTGCATGCCATGCAGCATAGCCAAAAAACAAAAGCAAAAAACACAAGGAGTCCTAGAACCCCTTCCTGCTCCCCTTCCCCAATCCCAGCTCTCAGGACCCCTCTGGCTTCTCCAGGTAGGTGGACCATTCCTTTGCCTAGCACCACGTGTTCTTCCTTCTTTCGAAACCCAGGACCTCTTAGAAACCTGTCTTCTCAGTGGTAAGATGGGGATTATCCCCAGTGAATGAGTCCAGACATAGGAAACACCTACCAGTGTCTGGTAGTTAGGTATAGTCAGTAAATTTTGGCAAGTGTTTATTATGTGTGCCAGATACTAATTGTAGGAACACAGCAACAGCTATGACAAATTTCTTTGCTTAGGAATCACATATTGGGTTCTATGGATAATAAAGTAATAAATTGGTATGTGATGTAATGTTAGAAAGTGGCAAGTGTTGAGAACAAAGCAGAGGGAATGAAGAGTGATGGGGTCTTACACAAGATGGTTTAGGGAAGGTGACTCAGAGGAAGTGACCTTACACTAGAGAGGAAATTGGAGAATGGTAGGGGAATGGTTCTGCATGGCACTCTGACTGCGTAGCACGTCTCCACATAGGCCACGTAGGCAAGCTCATCTAAGTATTGGCAGAACGCCCTGTAATCCTTGGAACACAGAGCACAAGAGGCTACAAGCCCATCTCACTAACCTCCCTGTCTACCAAAGAGGCTGCCATGAGACGGTTTCTCCTCTTCCAAGGTTCTGATGAGGTATGAGGCTTTCTGTTCTTTCTCTCCCCTGATTTAAGGTTATAGAACTGCTTAGCATGCACTAACTTCTTGGCACCACAGTGTCCTACCACTCATGCTGCAGTCATCTGGCCTCTTTTTTGTTTCTGTGTTACCCTGTACAAGGGACATGAGCTGGCATCTATGGCTCTTCTCGCTTCTGCTATCTGTGTAAGTAGCAAACATTTGAATTGAATGAGGACACATTTCCTTACCAGCCAAATATCTCAGCCTTGCCTTTTCTTGGCATCTGGAAGAGGAGAATTAGAGGCAGAAGAAAAAGCAAACACACACAAAGGCCCTGAGGTGGGAGCTTGCTTGGTGTGTGTAAGGAAGAGCAAGAAGGTCGGTGCAGCCGTAAGAGAGAGAGCAAGGGGGCAAGTGGCAGGAGGTGAGTTGTGAGAGGTGTTGGAGCCTGGTCCTGTAGGGCCGCCTTGGCCACAGGGAGGACTTTGACTTTTTCTCTGAGAGAGATGGAGCATGGGTCTGAGCAGAGCAGGGCCATGAGCTGCCTTAGATTGTAACAGGATCCTCTGACTACTGGGAGGACAGGCTTGGGCGGAAGGAGAGCAAGGGTGGAAGCAGTGAGGAGGCCACCACAGTAGTCCAAGCCAGCAATGGTGGTGGCAGCAGTGGACGTGGAGAGGAGAGGTTAGATTCTGGATATGTTTTGAAGGTAGACTGACAGGACTTGCTGAGAGATCAAACGGGGTGGGATGAGAGAAATAAATTGTTATGAATCCACACTGGAGGACCTCACACAAAGTCACTTGGGAATTGGTGTTAGTGTAGTGGTTAAGAGCAAGGATTGTGGAGCCAGGTGGCCTGGGTGTAAATCCAATTCCATCGCTTACTGACTATGCTGTCTTGGGCAGGTTATTTCATTTTTTTGCCTCCATTGCCTGATCTGTGACATGTGATAATAATAGTACCAACTTCAGAGGGTTGTTGTATAAAATATTTTATGCAGAAGGTTTTCTGCATAAAATATTTGGAACAGTGTCTGGCACAAAGTGCTTGCTATCAGTAATATTAGTGTAGGATGAGTAGAAGTGTTTGCATGCACAGAAGAGCGTGTTCTAGATCTCAGGAACAATTTGTGCAATTTTAAATTGAGAAAGCCAGTGTAACTGGAGCATAACCAGATAAGAGTAAGAGCAAGACAGGATGAAGTTGGGGAGGAGGCCTAAGCAGTCAGCTTCTCACAGCAGTTGGAAGCTGTTGTAGATTTCATGGCTGATCTACCAGTGCAGAAGATCAGAAGAGAGACAGGAGTAGAAACTGATCTGGGACTTGATATGGGGGTGGGGGTAGGGGGACATAGAGAGGTGGAGAGGGATGGGATGCTGTTGTCAGCACTGCTGGCTGGTTACCAGGGGGGTGGTGCTTTCTGGTATCCTGGATAAGAAACAGTCCAGTTCTACTTCCTGCCTGCTTCCAAATGCTAGCTCTAATGTTTTCTACATCTGTGGCCATGGGCAGTAAACCCATTCAAGGGTTCACTTTCCTCATCTTCAAAGTGGGGCCAAATGTTGCACCTCATTAGGGCTGTTGTGACAGTTCCATAAGATGGATATTGTAAGAGCTTGGTAAATGCAGGCTGTCACCAAAACCAAGCAAGAATGGCTTAATATTTGAAAAGCAACCAGATGTAGGTCAGTGTATTAACAGAAAAATGTGGGACAAATCAATGGCTGTGCCCATGTAGCTCTATCACCTGAGACTGAGGTACCAAATCCAGGGTCTAGGCTTGCTCAGGCCCCCAGTCTGGCCCTGAATCACCACTGGGTAAAGGGAATTGAGATCGTAAGAGCAGAGTGACTCCAGTTCTAGCCCTGTAAAGTGATTTCTCCTCTGAATCAGTCACTACCTGGCCTCACCGGCTTTATCCACACATTCGTTGTCTAGAGCTTCATGTATCTGGCTGCTTTTTCATTCAGGTTCCAGCTTAACTTTTTTGGTCATTTTGTTTTAAAAATTTTATTGAAATGCTATTGATTTACAGTGTTGTGGCAAGCTTAAGTTTATTTCTCACTCCTTCCTCCTTCCCCCGCCACTCAGCAATGCTAACCAAAAGTGAAAAGTGAAGTCGCTCAGTCGTGTCCAACTCTTTGCAACCCCATGGACTGTAGCCTACCAGCCTCCTCTGTCCATGGGATTCTCCAGGCAAGTATACTGGAGTGGGTTGCCATTTCCTTCTCTGGGAGATCTTTCTGACCCAGGGATTGAACCCAGGTCTCTAGCATTGTAGGCAGACACTTTACCATCTGAGTCACAAGGGAGCCACTAACCAAACTACTATTTTAATGATAGTAAAAACCAATTTGAAAAATGATCTTATTTATCACTTATCTTTATAGCTAGAACGGCAGCTCCACAAGAGTGGAGCCCAGTTATCTGAGTTACTGTTATTTTTCCAGTGCCTGGCACCTAGTAGGGGCTTGACAATTATTTGTTGGAAAGCTGGCTATTGCAATTTGCTGGAGGCTGCTCAAGTGGTCTGTGAGACTTTTCCCAAGTGTAGGAATCTGGTTTCTGACTCAGGCATTGGGGAGTTATCACCATTAAGCCTTTGGTGATTGTGAGAACTTTGGCTTCAGAGGCAAATATTTTCCCATCAGGAAATGGTCAAATTTAAATTATGATCTTGTGTCCCAACCCCCACTTGTCCAATTTAGGAAGAAACCTCAGGGATGAGATAAGAGAATAAGAACTTGGGGTCTACATGCCAGTTACACGTCATCTCCATGGTCTTTCTATTTCATTCTCTGGCTTTGATTCTCAGCACACTCTTGTAACCCCCCAGCCATCTAGACTTTCCCTCAAATCACGCTTCTGTTAGTTCCTGAGGATGAGGCCCAAATTCAGGTTTCATCTCAGCCTGTGTAATGAGAAGCCGGCACAACCAGTGTGGTCCAGTGCTCGCCTTTGCAGTTAAAAACTCTGGGGGCCAAATAGGCAGGAGGCACATGAAGAAAGGAGTCCAAAAAATACATGGCCCCTGCTTGTTTCTGCCATTACTTAAGCTACTATTGTGATGTGCTGTTACCTTCAAGCAGCTCTGGCTTACCTGTCTTTTCTGTCCAACTGTTTTTGTTTGTTCTTTCAGCTAGGACCCTCAACTGTCACTCATGACAGTGAAATAGCCCCAGATTCTGTTAGAGTGGGTGGGACTTGTGGTCCACCCTGGACTTGAGCTTTTTTAAATGCCATGATTGTAACCAAGGTCACTCACAACCTCCAGGAGCTGCTTCTGGTGACTTGATACCCCCAGGCCCTAGATCATTCTTTTCCCACCCACTGACCTGCCTGCCATTCATGTACATAAATTCTGCCCCTTTCTCTCCAAGCTTCCAACAAACTGAAAGTGCCTTCTATTACCAGCTTGTTCAAAACCCATTTTAAAAATTAATTTATTTATTTATGGCTGCGTTGGGTCTTCGTTGCTGCACAGGCTTTCTCTAGTTGCGGCAAGTGGGGGCTACTCTCTATTTGCAGTGTGTGGGCTTCTCACTGTGGTGGCTTCTCTTGTGGAGCTCAGGCTCTAGGGCATGTGGGCTCAGCAGTTGTGGCACATGGGCTTATTTGCTCCACGGCACGTGGAATCTTCCCAGACCAGGGATCAAATCCATGTCCTCTGCATTGACAGGTGGATTCTTATCCACTATACCACCAGGGAAGCCCCTCAAAACCAATTTTTAATCTAGTGCATTCATGCTCAGTCACTTCAGTTGTGTCTGACTCTGCAACCCTATGGACTGTAGCCTACCAGGCTCCTCTGTCCATGGAATTTTCCAGGCAAGAATACTGGAGTGGGTTGCCATGCCCTCCTCCAGGGGATCATCCCCACTCAGGGATTGAACTCACTCCTCCTGTGTCGTGCCCGGATTCTTTACTGCTGAGCCACCAGTGAAGCCCCTTTTTATCTAGTATTAGTGTGTAAATTTTTTTTTTTTAGATTTTTTTAAAATTTATTTACTTTTTTTTGTTTGTTTTTGTTTTTGGTTGTCCTGAGTCTTCATTGCTGCACACAGGCTTTCTCTAGGTGCAGCGAACAAGGGCTTCTCTTGTTTCGAAGCATGGGCTCTAGGTGTGTGGGCTTCAGTAGCTGGGGCTCATGGGCTCTACAGTGCGGGCTCAGTAGGTACATGGGCTTAGTTGCTCTGTGGCATGTGGGATCTTCCCAGACCAGGGATCGAACCCATGTCCCCTGCATTGGCAGGCAGATTCTTAACCACTAGACCACCAGGGAAGCCCTGTGTAAATGTTTAAAAACAAAAATTGAAAAAATGCTGAGCAGATAAATGCAAGAGGTAATCAGGGACATTCTAATTCTTGTTATTTTTGCATCAGATTTACCTCTGGCAGATGGATCTGTTTATTGGGAAAAGTTTTTTAAAACAACTAACAGTAGTCAACATTTAGTGGATATAGTCTCTGTTCCAGATGCTTGTCTAAGCTTTACAAATATTAACTCATTTAGTCCTCTCACTAACTCTATGAGGCAGTTTTTATTTTCAGATAAGGAGACTGAGTCACAAAGAGGTTAAGCCCAAAACCACATAGTTGTCAGAGACTGTGGCAGTGGCCAGGTTGTAATGCCTTCTGAAAAGTACTGTACTACTTCCTGGAATGACAGCAAATGTTCTCACAACAGGTGTCTTTATAGACATGTTTTACACATAAATAGCTAATTTATATTTATAAGGACCCTGTCATTAGGTTGTTTTATCTAGTATCACAAATGAAGTTCTAAAATAATTTTTGAAATTTTAACATGAATTGTAAAAAAACAAGAACAAAACAATTCTGGCAGGGAGACAGTAGATCTCCATGCTATTCCTGCCTCTCCTGTGATTTTTTCCCACAGCGTTTCTACAGAAGCTGAATGGTGGGACGAAGGTGTGGGGTTCTGTCCAGGGAGGGTCAAGGAGAATAGGAAAGGCGTTGGTTGTATCATTCTTTATGGTAGAAAAAAAAAGAACTGGCAATTACAGTTGTTCATCAGGGATGTCTGTGGGGGATGGGTTCCAGGACCTGCCATGGATAATAAAATCCAAAGATGCTCAAGTCCCATAATTGGTCCTCTGTATCTACAGTTATGCATCTATGGATTCAACCAAGCATAGATGATGTAATACTGTAATATTTCTTGAAAAAAAAAAACACATATAAGTGAGCCCACACAGTTCAAACCTGTGTTGTTCAAGGGCAAACTGTAAACCCAGTGCTGGCCACAAATAGTGGTCTGGTGCAACAAAATGTCACCCTTGGGCTTTGGGTTTCCTTGGCTGTAAAATAGGGATAGTAAAGGGACCCACAACATTCAGTTATTAGGATTAAGTAAATTAATACATATAAATCACCTTAAACAGTATCTAGCATGTTGTCCAATAAATGTTAGTGGTTACATGTTTATGCAGCAAAATAGTTTATTCTTTAGCAATCATGAAACAAAATGGTGTTCAACATCCTGAAAAAACCACCCATAGCTTAGTTACATGGACAAGGGAGGTTGTTAGAACACAAAGGGCAATACATTTTTGGATCTGTCTCATTTAAGGTTGCTTTAAAAAATACTGTTCAGATTATTTTATTATATAAATAGTGTGAAAATAACACTTTTTATAACAAACAATAATCTAACAACATTTTTGAGAACTGTATCAGTTAAGATCTGTTAAGCCCTTACATAGGCTTGCTCCTTGGAAGAAAAGCTATGACAAACCTAGACAGCGTATTAAATAGCAGACACATTACTTTGCATACAAAGGTCCATCTAGTCAAAGCTATGGTTTTTTCCAGTAGTCATGTGTGGATGTGAGAGTTGGACCATAAAGAAGATTGAGCGCCAAAGAATTGATGCTTTTGAACTGTGGTGTTGCAGAAGAATCTTGAAAGTCCCTTGGACTGTGAGGAGATCAAACCAGTCAACCCTAAAGGAAATCAACCCTGAATATTCATTGGAAGGACTGATGGTGAAGCTGAAGCTCCAATACTTTGGCCACCTGATGCGATGAGCCAACTCATTAGAAAAGAGGCCAATGCTGGGAAAGATTGAAGGCAGGAGGAGAAGCAGACGACAGAGGACGAGATGGTTGGATGGCATCACTGACTCAATGGACATGAGCTTGAGCAAGCTCTAGGAGATGGTGAAGGACAGAGAAGCCTGAAGTGCTGCAGTCCATAGAGTCACAAAGAGTTGGACGCGACTGAGCGATCGAACAACAACAGGAAGCTACTAAACATTGTAGTCCAACTCCATACACTGTACAACCTGATCACATTAAGATGAATACAGATGCAACTTCCTGTTGGAGTTGAAATAAGGATGATTCAGGTGGCCTCCGAAGCTTGTAGTACATAATCATGTCTCCCATCTCTAGAGACACCCAGACCAAGCTTCCTGGGAGTATCCAAGCCCACCCCGCCACTCCATCACTGACACACAGAAAGTACTCTTCTTACTCTGGGCATGTCTGAAGGCCCATCAGTCACCTAAGAATTGGAGAACTTTCTAGGGGCCTCTGCATGGGTGACTATTTTTTATTCTGCACTTCTAATCTTGCTTGGTGAAGATTTTACTGCTGAAAAGCAGCTTATGCCACTCTTTTCAAAAGAAAGTCTTTTTTAAAAGTAGTATTTCTGATTTTTAGTGGGTAATTGGCATACTTGCCCTGCCCCGGTCCTCCCTGGACGTTATTCTTGTGTACCTAAATGCCATTAGGGACTGGGGGTGAATAGACCTTAAAAGGGTGGAGCCTCCATCCTTGTGCCAAAAGGGCCTGTTCCTTAATGCGCCTGCGTGGTTTCTCCCACGCCCTGGGGAGGATTCCTATCGACTTGCTCCGCGCTCGGCGGCTCTTCCTGGCAGCAGGCGGCCATCTTGCTGGAGCCTGTGAGAGAGAGAGAGAGAGAGGAGAGAAGGGTGACACTGGTTTCAGGGCCGCCCCGGGAGCCTCAAGAGCGGGAGGCAGCCCCGGAGGTGGTCCCTGAACCCGGGTCCTGCTCTTGGACCCTGGAAGGGAATGCGTGGGGTGGGAGGGGGCAAGATGGTTGGGGATTGCCGACAAGGATTACTAGGTGGGGGGAGGGGCGTTGCTATGGTGACCGGGAAGGGTGGGGTCAGATCTGAATCGCCGCTATGAGTCACCCGGGCGCTGCCTGGGAAGGGCAGGACTAGGGTGGTGACCATGTTAACAGCCGGGTGGGATTTCGCGACTTCGTGGACTGGAGGGACTCTGTGTCTATGGCAACGATCGCCTGGCGGAAGGGGCGGAACTAGATCTCTTCACTTGAGACGCTGACATTCCAGGCCCTTGTCCTGCAGGCTCCCGCGGGCGGACACGCCGGAAGAGGAGGCCAGGGAATGGCCGCGGTGTGGCAGCAGGTCTTAGCAGTAGACGCGAGGTGAGGCGTGGGGTTGGAGCTCGTGGGAGCGGAAGTTACTGTGGTGCATGCGCAGTGGCAATAAATGAGGCTGGGCAGAGAACTTGCCTTTTGCGGCTGAGTGGGCTTGCCGGAGGTGAGCATGTGCAGTAGTAGCGTGTGGGGCTTGCCCGCCGAGAGAACGACTGGCCAGAGAGGGTAGTTAAAGAGCATGCTAGGAGAATGCAGTCACATGTGGGCATGCGCAGAGCGTCTGGTATTAGAGCCTTGGGAGGGGGTGATAGAGCCCAGGCTGGTGACATCCTGTTCCCACTTTTGCCTCCAGACTTCTCTTACCACCGTCATTTCCCCAGTCTGACCCCGTCGTCATCCCATACTGACCCCTACCATTGCCCACACTAACTCCCACACCATGTCAGATTGGCCTCTACCATTGTCTACACTGACTCGGTCACCCCATACCACTTCCAGCAAAATTGCAGACTGCCTCCATTGTACCCACATGGACCTTCTTGCCATGCCCATTACTACTGTGGACTCACCCTCATTACAGCACCAGAGAGACCCTCATCACCACTTCTGATCACTTGCCATCCTGACACACACCTCATTCTTCTTCCCTATCCCTTGAGTTGATTGACTCCCTCTGTCCTGTGCCTGCTGCCCGCCTTGCCTCCTGCCATCGCAGGTACAACGCGTACCGCACACCAACGTTTCCACAGTTTCGGACGCAATATATCCGACGGCGCAGCCAGCTACTGCGAGAGAATGCCAAAGCTGGGCACCCTCCAGCATTGCGTCGGCAGTACCTGAGGCTGCGTGGGCAGCTGCTGGGCCAGCGTTACGGGCCCCTCTCTGAGCCAGGCAGTGCTCGTGCCTATAGCAACAGCATCGTCCGCAGCAGCCGCACTACCCTTGACCGCATGGAGGTGAGCTCCTCCCCATGCACCTGCTGTGTTTACTACCTGCCTCCATATTTATTCATTCAACAGACTTGTCAAGCACCTGCTATGTGCCAGGCACTGTTCTAGGCTCTTAGGATGAGCAGGAGGCAAAAAGAGATAATATGTGATATAAATCAACAAATACAAATAAGATAAATAGGTTGATTAACAGGCAATAAATGAAATAAATAGGTCACTAAACGTAGCAAAGCAGGTAAACAAGTGAATAACTACCACAGCGTGTAGTGAGGAGTGCTGGTGTGGAAAAATAAAGCAGACTTGGGGAATGAAGCAGGACTGGTGTGGGGGACAGAAAAAAGCTGTTTCTAATGGAGATGATCAGGGAAGGCCTCTCTGAGGAGGTGACAATTGAGCTGAGACTTGAATGAGGCAAGAGACTAAATCAAGTGGTTTTCTGGTGGAAAAGTGTTCATTCGTTGTTCAAAGAACATTTGTTGAATATCTGCTGAGCGGGGCAAGAGCAAGGGAACTAATGCAGAGGCCACCACAGTAGTGCCAGCAGTGGTGGCTTTGGAAGGGGTGAGAAGGAATCTGGTTTTGGCATATGGGGTCTTAGTTCTCCAACCAGGGATTGAACCCATGCCCTCACAGTGGAAGTGTGGTCTTAACCACTGGACCGCCAGGAAGTTCCCATGGTTCTGGATATATTTTGAAGACTCTAGATCTTATAGGTTCTTGAAGGCTATTTGCAAGGTGTGCCCACTCTGACCCTCTGTTGCCAGGACTTCGAAGATGATCCTCGGGCCCTGGGGGCCCGTGGGCACCGCCGCTCTGTCAGCCGAGGCTCCTACCAACTGCAAGCACAGATGAACCGTGCTGTCTATGAGGACAGGTATGCACCAGGGGCAGCTCAAAGAAGAGGTTTGTGAGGAGGGGAGGGGCCACGGGACAATGAAAGGCCACACGCTAGTACCTCCCTTCTCTTACTCCTCACTCCTACTGGGGCCTAGGCCCCCAGGCAGCGTGGTGCCCACCTCAGCGGCAGAAGCAAGTCGAGCCATGGCTGGGGACACATCGCTGAGCGAGAACTATGCCTTTGCGGGCATGTACCATGTTTTTGACCAGCACGTGGATGAGGCAGGTGAGCCAGTGGACGGCGGGTCCCATCACCATGCATTTGCCCAAACTGACAGCAACCCGGTGCCTCCTTTTCTGGAATGCAGAGTCTTGGGTCCACCTCTAATGGGGTGGTTCCCATACATCAAACTTTTCACAAACCTAAAAGCCCTCTGCAAAGTGATCTGCAAAGCCTTGGTTACTTTATTTACCATAAAAGAACTGAGCAGTTTAAAAGAGCACTTGGCTTCTGGCGTCGAGAGTCACTTGAAGGCGCTTAAAGCCTCTGCTGCAGAGAAATCCCTTTGCAAAGGGCAGAGTGGGTTTTGCAAACTGCCAAGACCTTGGTAATTAGAAAGTGCTAACTGAGATGTGGAAGCCATTTCACACTACAGAAAGCATTTACAGTCCATAAGGTACCTGCCAAGATTTAGGGAGTTTTTGGCAGAGGGCCTTCCAGGTTCCCGCTCTCTTTCTCAGCCAAGGAAAGCCCTTCGCTGAGGCCACTGTGCCTGGTGCAGTGGATCCTGGCCCCAGCTCACAGGTCAGAAGCTTCCATAAATGAAAGCACTTGGTGAGCATGCTGACTCTCCCAAATGGCTCCTTGGCCTTGCAGTCCCCAGGGTGCGCTTCGCCAATGATGACCGGCACCGCCTGGCCTGTTGCTCACTTGATGGCAGCATCTCACTGTGCCAGCTGGTACCTGCCCCGCCCACCGTGCTCCGAGTGCTGCGGGGCCACACCCGCGGCGTCTCCGACTTTGCCTGGTCTCTCTCCAATGACATCCTTGTGTCTACCTCCCTTGATGCCACCATGCGCATCTGGGCCTCTGAGGATGGCCGCTGCATCCGGGAGATCCCTGACCCTGACGGCGCCGAACTGCTCTGCTGCACCTTCCAGCCGGTCAACAACAACCTTACTGTGGTCAGGCTCCAGGGCGCCCCCTCGCCAAGGGAGGGATGCCAAGCCGGGAGGGCGTGTCTCAGGGAATGAGGATAAGGAGTCCCCTGTAGTCCATCACCTCCATCCTCCTTTGGCCAGATTCAGAGGGAAACAAGGCAGGACTGGGGTCTCAGTTCTTGGACTGGGGTGGGCTCACTGTGGGAATGGGGCAGTCTGTGGGTAGGGTCACGGCCCCATCAGCAGGGGTTGCTGGCTGGGGAGCAAGGTTACTGGTTGGAAACCTTGTCTCAGTGGCAGCTCTTTGGTGGTCTGACCTGGATGGAGAGTCAGAGGGCAGGGGAAGGAAATGAAAAGTCTGGCCCAGCCCTGAGCAGGGAGTAGGGGGAGTTGGCCCCGTGAGCCTGTGCTCTGGGATCCTCTGTCCTAGACTAGTCGAAGACTCCAAGAAAGACCAGACAGTTCCCTTTAGTTCTGGGAGCAGCTGTCTGTTCTGGTCAAATTGCAAGAGGAACCAGCTGGGGAGGATTACCAGCCTGGGTCACTTTGCAGTCTCCCGACCCACCCTCTTATAATGAAAGCGCATAAGGGATCAGCCAGTCCCATCAACTGCAGCCTCAAGGAAGGAGGACTAGCTGGGAGCAGGGTGATGGTATGTGGGTTTCACCCACAGGTGGGGAATGCCAAGCACAATGTGCACGTCATGAACATCTCCACGGGCAAGAAAGTGAAGGGTGGTTCCAGCAAGCTGACGGGCCGCGTCCTCGCTCTGTCTTTTGATGCCCCTGGCCGACTTCTCTGGGCGGGTGATGACCGCGGCAGTGTTTTCTCCTTCCTCTTTGACATGGCCACAGGTAGGCAGGCTCCCGGACTTTCCTGGTGGCTCAGTGGTAAAGAATCCTGCAATGCAGGAGCTGCAGGAAACGCAGGTTCCATCCCTGGGTTGGGAAGAGCCCCTGGAGGAGGGCATGGCAACCCACTCTAGTATTCTTGCCTGGAGAATCCCATGGACAGAGGAGCCTGGCAGGATCAGCCCATAGGGTCGCGAAGAGTTGGACACAGCTGAAGCAACTTAGCATGCACAGGCAGGCCCCTGGCCTGTATCTGGGTGCTTGTACTCCCACCCTCCTGGTGCACAGCCCTAGCACTCACCTCTGCCTCCTCTCTGCTGCCACAGGGAAGCTGACCAAAGCCAAGCGACTGGTGGTGCACGAGGGCAGCCCTGTGACCAGCATCTCTGCCCGCTCCTGGGTCAGCCGTGAGGCCCGGGACCCCTCACTACTCATCAATGCTTGCCTCAACAAGCTGCTGCTCTACAGGTGGGTCTCCTTTCTGTGCCACCTGGAGGTGGGGAGCCTGTCCCCTCTGTCAGACTGGCATGAGAGCTTTTTCTTCCCAGCAGACTGAGGTGTGGAGGGTGGAGATTAACTTCCTTGAGGGTGGAGATCTGGTCTCCTAGTAATATGATAACAGCAACATCAATAGGAGCAGTAATGCAATAGAAGAAGTAATAGTAATAGCAGTAGCTAGCATGTTCATAGCAATTACTGGGGCCAGGCTGTGTTCAAAGCACCTTATACATATCACCTCATTTAATCCTCACAAAAACCCTATGAGGTGGGTGCTATTATCATATCTATTTTATAGATGAGCAAACTGAGCCATAAAATGGATTAGAGCCCCCTTAGAGCTTCCCAGGTGACGCTAGTGGTAAAGAACCCACCTGCCAGTACAGGAGATTTAAGAAACGTCGGTTCGATCCCTGGGTTGGGAAGACCCCCCTGGAGGAGGGCATGGCAACCCACTCCAGTATTCTTGCCTGGAGAATCCCATGGACAGAGGAGCCTGGCAGGCTACCATTCATGGGGTCACAAAGAGTTGGACACGACTGAAGTGACTTAGCATGCCCTTAGAGCAGTGGCATGCTTTCTTTCCTTCCTTTTTTTTTTTTTTTCTTTTTGAAGCAGGGAGTTTTACTATCTCCACACAATTATGTCACCTAAATGCAGTTCTCAGCCTGGGCTGTATGCCAGAAAGCTTTCCTTACCAAACTGCTGTGGAAATGCCCCAGACTCCCTGGAGTAGTTCGGGTCCATTCCTTTGAATGGCCACATGGTGTTCCACAGTGCAGGGGTCCTGTAGTTTGGTCAGCCGTTTCCTCTCTTTGTGCATGTCCTAACTCCAGGATCTCTTAGGGATCCTTAGAGAAAGGAACTAGTGAGTTAAACAGAAGAGGTTCCCCACATATATCAACAGATACAGCTTCCAAATGGTCACTATTGCACTCTAGCCCATGCTTTATACGTTTATGCAGTGGTCTCAAAACTAGATTTCATGAACCTTGAAAGGAGCTTGGGTGTGGCGGTGGGGACACAGGCTAGCCCACCATTTGTTTCCCCCGGTGCTGATGCTGCCCCCCTGACCCACTCTTCTCCTCCTTTCAGAGTGGTGGACAATGAGGGGACCCTGCAGCTGAAGAGAAGCTTCCCCATTGAGCAGAGCTCACACCCTGTGCGCAGTATCTTCTGCCCTCTCATGTCCTTCCGCCAGGGGGCCTGTGTGGGTGAGTCCCATGGGATTGGGGTGTCTGGGTGGCCAGGGAGGAGTGGGGACCAGGGGTGGTGCTGTTCTGGTTCAAATATCAGGATACCCCAATGCCCTGACTTCCTGGGCTTCAAAAACTCCCAGCAACCTCACACTTTGAACACAGACCCCCAAACAGCCCAGAAACCTCATAGCCTGAGACACAGACCCCTCCTCACCGCCACCAACAAAGAACACAGAGACCTCACACTCTTGACACAGAACCAACACAGCTAGGTGACCTCCCATCTAGGGCTGGTATACTACAGGGCCCCCAGCCCTGGGACCTCACACCTTGGACATAAATCCGTCAACACCTCAGACACCTCAGAGACTCCACATGCAGGGCACCCCACTGCCTCCTGCGATACCTCCTGATGGTCTCTCCTTTCATCTGGGCAGTGACTGGCAGTGAGGACATGTGCGTGCATTTCTTTGATGTGGAGCGGGCAGCCAAGGCCGCCGTCAACAAGCTGCAGGGCCACAGTGCGCCCGTGCTGGATGTCAGCTTTAACTGTGATGAGAGCCTGCTGGCTTCAAGCGACGCTAGTGGCATGGTTATCGTCTGGAGGCGGGAGCAGAAGTAGGAGACTTCCAGCCTTGCTACCGTTCACCTTCCCACCCACCTCCTGCCCCAGTCTTGTATTTGTAAATAAAGTTCCTGTGGTTGTGCCGATGGCTGGCTTCCAGTTCTGCAGGGGGTGAGATGGGGGATAGGGCAGCTCTAGGACCCAAGATGGGGTGAGGTTCACCGCCTCATTCATGCCTTCGTACATTGATTCATTCATTCATTCAACAACCATTTATGAACATCTGCCATGTCAGAGGCACTACTTAACGTGTTTTACACAGTGATGCATTGGATGGACATTATCAAGCACCTACTGTATGCCAGTAACTGTTCTAGGCACTGAGGGTACAGCTGTGACCTAAACTAACAAAAATCGCTGCCCTTGTGAGGCTTACATTCTAGTGGAGTCAGGTAGATAATAAACAAAAATATATAATGGGTCAGCTAAAGTTGAGTGTTGTGAGGAGAAAGGATAGGGGATAGAGTTTCAAGAGGGTGGGGGAGAATTAGGCTCTTTTTGGTATCATGATCACAGATGTTCCTGACCATGTAAAATTTATTTTTTATGTATTTTATAAAATAATTTTATTTATTTTTGGCTATGCTGGGTCTTCGTTGCTGTGTGGGCTTTTCTTTAGTTGCAGTGAGCAGGAGCTACTCTTCATTGCAGTGTGCAGACTTCTCATTGATGTGGTTTCTCTTGTGGCACAGTCTTCAGTATTTGTAGCACATGGGCTCAGTAGTGGTGGCTCCCGGGCTCTAGAGCACTGGATCATTAGTTGTGGCCCATGGGCTTAGTTGCTCCACGGCATGGGGGATCTTCCTGGACCAGGGATCGAACCAGTGTCTCCTACATTGACAGGCAGATTCTTGACCCCTGAGCCACCAGGGAAACCCTTATTAATTTTTTTAGATTTTATATTATATTGGAGTATGGTTGATGTACAATGTTGTGTTAGTTTTAGGTGTACAGCAGAGTGATTCAATTATATATATACATGTATCTATTCTTTTTCAGATTCCTTTTCCATAAGGTTGTGACAGAATGTTGAACCAAGTTCCCTGTGCTGTACAGTAGGTCTTTGTTGGTTATCTGTTTTATGTATAGAAGTATATGTATGTTAATTCCAAACTCCTAATTTATTAATATTCCTTCTTCCCACCTTTTCTTTTGGTAACCATAAGTTTCTTTTCCAAGTCTATTAGTCTGTTTGTATTTTGTTAATAAATTCATTTGTGTTCTTTTTAGATCCTGCAAATAAGAGATATCATATGATATTTATCTTTCTCTGTCTGACTTCATCTAGTGTGATAATCTCTAGCTCCATCCATGTTGCTGTAGATGGCATTATTTCATTCTTTTTTATGGTTGAGTAATATTGCATTGTATATATGTATCACATCTTATTTTTAAAGATTTATTTTATTTTTTGGCTATGGGGATCTTCATTGCTGCAGACTGGTTTTCTTTAGTTGGAGCAAGTAGGGGTTACTCTTTGTTGTGGTGTGCAGGCTTCTCATTGTGGTGGCTTCTGTCTTGTTGCAGAGCATGGGCTCTAGGTACCTGGGCTTCTGTAATTGCAGCATGTGAGCTCAGTAATTGTGGCTCATGGGCTCTAGAGTGTGGGCTTGGTAGTTGTGGCATAAGGGCTCAGTTACGCTGTGGCATGTGGGATCTTCCCTGAGCAGGGATTGAACTGGTGTCTCTGCATTGCAGGGTGAACTGTTAACCACTGGACCACCAGGGAAACTCTGTGTATCACATCTTTACCCATTCCTTTGTTGATGGACATTTAGATTGCTTCCATGTCTTGGCTATTGTAAATAGTGCTACAGTGAACACTGGCGTGCATGTATCTTTTCAAATTATGTTTTTCTCGGGACATATGCCCAGGAGTGGGATTGCTAGACCATATGGTAGCTCTATTTTTAGTTTTTTAAGGAATCTCCATACTGTTCTCCATAGTGGTTGTACCAAATTACATTCCCACCAACAGTGTAGGGGGGTTTCTCTTTTTGCCACATCCTCTCCACCATTTATTGTTTGTAGAATTTTGATAATAGCCATTCTGACCAGTGAGCGATACCTCATTGTAGTTTTGAATTGCATTTCACTAATAATTAGTGATGTTCAGCATCTTTTCTTGTGCTTTTTTTGCCATCTGTATGTCTTTTTTGGGGAAATGTCTATTTAGATTGTCTGCTCATTTTTGCCTGTTTGTTTTTTGTTTGGCTGCATCACACAGTATGCTAGATCTTAGTTCTTTAACCAGGGATTGAACCCATGCCCCCTGCAAGAGAAGTGTGGAACCTCTGGGCCCCCAGGGAGATCCCAAGGGTTGTTTGTTGTTTTGATATTGAGCCACATGAACTGTTTGTATATTTTGGGGATGAATCCCTTGTTGATCACATCATTTGCAAATGTTTTCTCCCATTCTGTGGGAGAAAATTGTCTTTTTTGTTTTGTTTATGGTTTCCTTTGCTGTGCAAAAAGCCTTTAAGTTTAATTAGGTCCCATTTGTTTATTTTTATTTTCATTACTCTAGGAGGTGAATCCAAAAAGATGTTGCTGCAATTCATGTCAAAGAGTGTTTTGCCTATGTTTTCCTTTAAGAGTTTTATAGTATCTGGTCTTACATTTAGGTTTATAATCCATTTTTAATTTATTTTTGTATATGGTTTCAGGGGATGTTCTAATTTTATCCATTTACATGTAGCTGACCAGTTTTCCCAGCAGCACTTACTGAAGAGACTGTCTTTCCTCCATTGTCTATTCTTGCCTCCTTTGTCATGGATTAATTGACCATAGGCATGTAAGTTTATTTCTAGACATTCTGTCCTGTTCCATTGATTGTTTTTTTGTGCCAGTACCATAATGTTTTGATTACTGTAGCTTTGTAGTGTAGTTTGAAGTCAGGAGCCTAATTCAACTCCATTTTTCTTTCTTAAGATTGCTTTGGCTATCTGGGGTCTCTGTGCATGCTCAGTTGCTTCAGTTGTGTCCAACTCTTTGCAACCCTATGGACTGTAGTCCTCCAGGCTCTTTCTGTCCGTGGGATTCTCCAGGCAAGAATACTATAGTTGGCTGCCATGCCTTCCTCCAGGGGATCTTACCGACCCAGGGATTGAACCTTCATCACCTGTGTCTCCTGCATTGCAGGTGTATTCTTTACCCACTGAGCCACCTGGGAAGCCTGGAGTCTCTGACAGTGTGAAATTTATACAAATACCTGAATGAAGTGAGAGAGCCACTGTGTGTGAGGGAGAAGAATATTATAGGTTTAGAAAAGGCAGTGCAAATGTGCCAAGGCTGGAGTTTGCCAGAAGGACCATCATAGAAGCCAGTATAGCTGGATCAAGGTTTGGTAGGAGATAAGGTTGGACAGGTCCAATGCTGGAGGGCTTTAGGAGCCACCGTGAAGACTTGAACTTTTTTGCTGGGTGAGGGGTGAGTTCCCAGAAGATTTTGAGCACAGTAGGGGAATGGTCTGACTTCATTATGAGAGGATCCCCCTGGGCACTGTGGAGAAAACAGACTGAAGGAGGGGAGCAGGAGCAGGGGGACCAGTCAGGAGACCCTGCATTAGTTGAGGCAAGCAGTGATGGGGTGGTAGCAGCAGAGGGGCTAAGGTAGGGAATGTTGGCTTCTACCACAGAGGTTTCATCCTATTAGTCTGCAGGACTCTGCCTGCTCCTCAGAGAGGCTGAGGTTCCTAGGCTCCCCCCACCTTTGGGGCAGCCACTCCGTGAGCCCCATACCTGTTGTTGCATTGGTTGTTTTCTGCAAGTAGGGAGCAGAGATGCTGAGAGCGCGAAGGCAGTGCAGAGCAACCATGGACCCCAAGGCTGAGGTGATGGCTCCTGTTGTGGGAGGAAGGGGATGAGTAATCTCTCTCCACCTCAGAGAAACCCCAAGCCACCCCCACCTCCTCCCAAGCCCACCCAGGGCCCAAATTCAGGACCTGGAATAGCTCAGAGACCACAGAGTAATGTTCAGTATTTGAGAGGAGCCCTGAGTATATTCTTGCCTGGAAAATTCCATGGACAGAGGAGTTTGGCAGGCAGGCTACAGTCCATGTGGTCACAAAGAGTTGGACATGACTGAGCTACTGAGCACTGAATGAGGAGAGAAACTCTGGGGTGTAGGCAGGGAGACAGATAACCCAAATCCCTTGTCAATGACCTGAGTCACCCGGAAAATGTCAAAGTTCCATAATATCAAGGAGGCTCTTGCTCCAGTTGCTCCCTTCCCAGTAGCTTCATAGGCTGCTGGCCCCAGATGCATCAATGGTAAGTGTAGCTACCACCTTGAGACCTCAGGCGCAGTCCACAGAGTCATAGAGACCCCAGCCTGGCCCAACATGGTTGAGCTGTTGAACTAACACCAGCAGTCCTGTAGATGGAGGAAAGTAACCTCTTGTTCATCCAAGCCACTGTTACCGGACAGTGTGGTTACTTGCAGCCAGAAGCATTTGTACCTGGTAGTTCCATCTGACAGACCTTAAGGTAAATGGTGATGAGATAGTGGTGATAGTCCAGAGAGCTGGACTGTTCACAGAATCAGTGATTTGCTAGAAGGATTCTCAGTCTCAGCATATGGTTGTATGCACGGCTCTATGATTTTTACAGCAAAAAGATACAGAGCACAGTCAGCAAAGGGAAATGGCACACAGGGGTCAAATCCAGAGGAGACGAGGCACAAGCCTCCAAGGTGTCTTTCAGCAAAGCCTCACAGGACACCCTTAATTCCCTCAGGTGTGATAGCACATGTGAAACGTTATCAACCAGGGAAGCATCCATGGTTTCTACTGGGGGCTGGTCACATAGGTACCCTCTTGCCTAGCACATACCCAACTTCCAGACTCCCTGAAAGAATGCAGCTATTTAGCATAAACCGCAGTGTTTGGGTGAATAGTTCAGGCACATCAAATCACTATTATCAGTTAAGAGAGTGGTGGAAATTTCCCAGAAGTTTCCAGATGCCAGCCAAGGACCCCTATTGAAGCAGGCTTTTCC